TGAGAGCTAGGTTTACATCGTGAGCACAGTGTCGTTTAAAAAAATGATAGACGAGTACAGTACGTCCTCGGTGAACCATTTAAGGAATAGGAGTTGGTGGGGTTTTCGTCGGGCCCGAGTCAAACCTCGAAATTACTCACTCCGATATCAGAGCCAAAGCTCAAAGATCAATTCCAGACCGAGTGGCAACAAGCAATCGGACTTGGACAGTCCAGGTCCTTTGTAACACAGCCCCTTGGCAAATCTGGGCCTTTTAAAACTGAACATAAACAAGCTCGCCGGTGTCCTTACGGGGTACTGGATGGTCAACTATTTCCTGCACAACATTGGGCTTGTAGGAGAACCTACGTGCTGGTTCTTTGGCGAGGCATGTGGTCTGTCTCTGAGACGCTTTGATCAGAAACATACAGCAGCTCCTTGGGGACATCTGGACATCATATCTGGAACCGTGGAGGGTGAAGCAACTTAGACTCATCAGGGTCTTATCCTTTATTGGGGGGAGCCGGTTCTGAACCGAGTTGCATAAGAAAGGGGGTAGGCACAGTGGGGCTGTGATGCGCTTCGAGCTCCCCACGCTTCCAACCTGAACGGAACAACCGCTCATTGGCAGGATTAACCCCTCCGAGTTCCACCGTACAAAAACCTTTTAATTTCTTTGAAAGCGGTGCCCTTGTAAGAGTTCGGGTTCATCAGCGATATTCAAAACGATCCTATTTAATTCCTTTCCTTCACTTACTCTCTCCGAGCTCCATTTAAATATCGACAAAGAAATTAGTAATCGTAATAAATTAAATCTAACGCACTTCAGAGATTAACCCCACAGATACAGAGGTTCTTAAACTTTTCCATAATAGAAAACCATTTGAACTCCGTCTCTGCCTTGAATTTTATTTTGATGGCAACGAAACTAGATCTAGGGACCATGATCATTTTATATGATAATATCGTGGATCGGTACAGCAAAGTTGTAATATACAAATATTCAGAAATCGCACTTAATTTTTGTTTGTAATTGGGCCTAATAAAGGTTGTTCAATGTAGGTAGGTGATATAAATAATTGAGCAATCGCTTAATATTTTTTTTAATAATCTAACAGTCTAACGTCAAATAATTATCATAATTTAATACACTTTGCATGAGGTTTTCTTTAACAATTTCATTATATAAGAAGTACAAAAACTACTACTATTGGTTCATGAAAATATGTTGGGTTTCTTATGCTATTTTTAAATACGAATCACTTGTTTGGCCTCGAATAATATTTAAGAAAATATCAAATTTAACTACACGCCTTGTAACAAACGATAATAATGTACAAAATCATAACTTTTTGATTATAAAGATCCTTCACAACATTTAACTACAACATTTTTATTATAATAAAATAGTCATTTATACTTTTTTTTTGTTTCAGTACAGCCTGTTGGTGTGATAACTCTATGGGGCTTGGGTAACATTCCCTGTAGTAACGAAAGTTTTCTTCGGTTTTGGGGGCACTAGTCTAATACGGCTAGCAAAAATCTACATAACAAACGTATCATTACTTACGTTACAGGCACGATAATGATGCTTAAACTTTGAACGCTACTTACGTACATTTACACAATAAGACAGTGGCTGAAATACAAACACGGAAGCAGATTGTAGATGTGGGTAATTTGAAGGGACACAAGACAAACAACAATAAAAGCGTTCATTAAAGTACCAGGAGTATGTGTGCTAAGCTTAGTCTATACAACAACGGAAAATTGAAGAGCACGACCAAAAATCTCATGTACACGTGTCACATTCAGGATAAATACATTTCTTTTGATATTCGATTAAGACTAGTCGCTAGAGATCACTTTCTTTGGAAATTACATACGGTAGGTTAGAAAATTATGAAAAAATACTCCATAAAGCTAACAACTATATTATGTACCTATAGTAAATGATTGGAAGTAGGTAACTTACAGTGTGATTACAAGAACCTGTATTGTATAAATGTGATTGTTTTTTTAACAATACCTTGACGTCATTCCCTCGTGCGTTGGGGTTACTCGCACGCACGAGCGAAACCTCGCGATCTTCGTCGACGTCATCAGTCGCGTCTCTCCTTTTGATTTCTAGTACACCGAAGATAGGTACAAGATTTGTTTTTTATACATTTAGAATACATGCATCTCACTTTTCAATTTTTTGTCTTAATTTTACGAGAGCGGAAGCTATAAACCGAAATGTGCCGATATTGTCAAGTGCACGTTCTAGGTGGCGATTGAGGGCTACCTTTGAAAAACTATTCGCGTAGAAAGCCGTCTGAGCGGCCTTCTGAACAAAGTTAAGGCTGTAGGAAGCAGTCCATGAGATCATGTTCAATTGCAAGATGAAATTACAAAACTTTCGAAATTTAAAAACTCCCAAAATTGTGCACTGCCATCCAAGATATCCTATTCGCGCCATTTACTGTCTCCTCTCTCAAAGGAAAATCGGGCCAGGTTTCGTATCGTTAGATTCTTTTAATTCTTGGTTTTGTGTTCATGGAATTTAAAGAACGAATCTATTCCTAAAACTAACTACCGTTACAGTACCCCCCCCCCCTTGTTTTTCAATCGAACTCTGGATAAGTGTTTCCATCATATTCGTCAATTGTTTTAGATTTGGTTGGTTGATCATGGTGAAACTCGTGTGGGCACCCACCTTGCGCAAATGCCAAGCTATAGTTACCGAATGTCATTTTTTGGGGTGTCAAATTACATTTACAAGTTCAATTGTGGTCGAGGATACCAAATTAAGTGTTCAATGTCGTCTAAGGTCAATGATCTCAATAGTGATGTCAAATTACATTTTCAATGTCATCCAAGGTCAATGGTTCCATTTGTTGTGTTGTCAAATTACAATTTCAAGGACAATGAAAGCATTTTTGTGGTATCAAATTACATTTTCAAGGTCATAGAGAAGTAATGAACTCATCTGTTGTGTTGGCGAATTACATTCTTGTCCTCCAAGGTCAATGACCCTTTTTTCGGTTTCAAATTACAGGTTCGAGGTGATTCAAGACAATCCAAGGTCAATTTTGCGGTCTTAAATTACACTACCAAGGTGATCCAAGGCCATAACCTCATTGTCATGTGTAATTACAATATCAAGGTCACTCAAGGTAAATGAATCCATTCCTTTCTGTGTGCCAAAAACCTCATTTTTTGATGTGGTGCCTAATTACATTGAAGGTCACGCGATGGCAATGAAACCTTTTTTAGCGGTGTCAAAAATTACATTTTCAAAGTCATCCATGATACATTCATCCAAGGTCAATTAAACAATTTTTGGGGCGCCAAATTATATTTTCAAGGTTAATGGTCTCATTTTTATGCGGTGTCTAAATTAGAATCTCAAGGTCATTGGTTGCGATGTCAAATTACATTTTTAAGGACAAAGAACATAAGTCCTACAATCCTAATTTCCAAGGTCACCCCCAGGTGGCGAGAGACCTTGGACTAGACAAGTAGCTTTGACACATTTTAATTTCAGTGTAGTCGTGTGTATTTGTATGGTTTTGATATTTGTCCCTTGGTCAACTTGTTAAGTGTATTGAGAGGGGGAGAACGGGGGCGCGACCAGCTAAATACGTGTGAAGATTTGAAACGCCGAGAAGCCGTGGAAAATGACGAGATTAGCTAGATTATGTTCTTTTTACATTAGTTGTTATCAAGCTTGCTACGTAGTGTGGATTTTGTAGATTCAGAGAGATTTTTCTCTACGGGGAGGTGAGTTATTGGTGTCAAGGTTACTGATTGGACGGAAAAATTAGTCTTTGTTGGTGGAGAAGGTTGTACGGCCCTGATTGGGTGCGAGTTAAAAAATAAAGATTGCTGTGAGAGCAATTCAGATAAGCCGCGGGGCAATTCGCGTCGTGAACAACGAAGAAATTAGTGCGAAACCGCGGACCACCTGTAAATATTATTTTCAGAGAAGTTGCGTAGGTTGCCAGTAGCAAAGCATGCTAGTAGAAGACCTATGTTCGTTCTGGATCAGGAAGTGACGTCACAGTCACAGTCAGAGACGAGCTTGTGACGTCACAGCGAATCAGTGACGAGCACGCCACTTATGCCCTTCCCCTTGACCAATAATTCAGCATCATAGGTTAGGACACTGGGAGCCCCTTTGCATTTCCCAGAGATTGAATTATAGGTTAGAATTGAATGAACCTCTCAAAGCCTGCGTAGCTCAATTGGTTACGGGCTAGCTTTTCATTTCAGATATCGGGGGTTCGATTCCCAACGCGAAATAAAAAAAATTCTATAGTGATCACGTGACCGATGACGCGGATCCAAGATGACGGGTCCAAATTAACATCCAAGATCGCGGATCGCACGAGACAGGCGGACTGCAGAAAAATGGCGGCTTTAGTGACTAATAAAATGGCGGTCGATTCATAGACGACGACCAACAAAATGGAGGATTTAGTAAATAATAAAATGGGGACCGATTCAAAATGACACCTAAGAAAATGGCGGGTTTAGTGACTAACAAAATGGCGACCGATCCAAGATGGTGCCCGACAAAATAGTGGATCACGCCGCTCATTGGCTGTGACGGCACAGGGGGAGCATAGAGGGCGTGCTCGTCTCGGATTGGTGTGACGTCACTTTCTGATTCAGAACGAAAATAGGTCTTCTATTGATGTTTAAATCAAACAAGAAGAGAATTGCGACCTTTATTTGAAAGGGATATTTTCCGCTCGGAAATCATCGCCGTAAATACGAACAAACGCGTGAAAATTAGAGAGAAAAAGTGTTTTCCCGAGAAATTTTGAAGCAGTCGATTTTTGGTAAAAAGGAAGGTAATACACTGCCTTCTTTTGAGGCCGGAAAGAAAAATTGTCTGGGATCGACCGGGAAAAAACATTTTCTTATAGAGTTTGGCCCGTAGAATCCATAATTTCAAACAGTTCCAAGAGTGGACTACTAGATCAAAAGTTACAGCCCTTTGAACTTTTTGTCGAAATTTGTAATTAGTCCATAACTTTTGATTGAGGGGCCTGATCGAAAAAGTACGAATCGTTTTGGATTCTACGCACCAAAATTAGTGAGAAAAAGTGTTTTCCCGAGAAATTTTGAAGCAGTCGATATTTGGTAAAAAGGAAGCCTTCTTTTGAGGCCGGAATTTGAGTAGAAATTAACATCCAAGATGGCGGATGGCACGAGACAGGCGGACTGCAGAAGAATGGCGGATTTAGTGACTACTAAAATGGCGGGCGGATTCAAGATAGCACCCCACAACATGGCGGATTTAGTGACTAATAAAATGGCGGTCGATTCATAGACGACGACCAACAAAATGGAGGATTTAGTGACTAATAAAATAGGGACCGATCCAAGATGACGCCTAACAAAATGGCGGGTTTAGTGACTAATAAAATGGCGACCGATCCAAGATGGTGCCCGACAAAATAGTGGATCACGCCGCTCATTGGCTGTGACGGCACAGGGGGAGCATAGAGGGCGTGCTCGTCTCTGATTGGTGTGACGTCACTTTCTGATTCAGAACGAAAATAGGTCTTCTAGTGATGTTTAAATCAAACAAGAAGAGAATTGCGACCTTTATTTGAAAAGGATATTTTCCGACTCGGAAATCATCGCCGTAAATACGAACAAACGCGTGAAAATTAGAGAGAAAAAGTGTTTTCCCGAGAAATGTTGAAGCAGTCGATTTTTGGTAAAAAGGAAGGTACACTGCCTTCTTTTGAGGCCGGAATTTGAGTCCAAATTAACATCCAAGATGGCGGATGGCACGAGACAGGCGGACTGCAGAAGAATGGCGGATTTAGTGACTACTAAAATGGCGGGCGGATCCAAGATGGCACCCCACAACATGGCGGATTTGGTGACTAATAAAATGGCGGTCGATTCAAGACGACGACCAACGAAATGGAGGATTTGGTAACTAATAAAATAGGGACCGATCCAAAATGACGCCTAACAAAATGGCGGGTTTAGTGACTAATAAAATGGCGACCGATCCAAGATGGTGCCCGACAAAATAGTGGATCACGCCGCTCATTGGCTGTGACGGCACAGGGGGAGCATAGAGGGCGTGCTCGTCTCTGATTGGTGTGAAGTCACTTTCTGATTCAGAACGAAAATAGGTCTTCTATTGATGTTTAAATCAAACAAGAAGAAAATTGCGACCTTTATTTGAAAGGGATATCTTCCGCTCGGAAATCATCGCCGTAAATACGAACAAACGCGTGAAGTTCTAAGTGTGAAGTCAAGTTGCATGACCTTAAATACAGTTTAATTTGCGCGAATGGGAAACTATTACGATAAATGCGAACAATAGCGCCGAATTATGTAATAACTGTGTGACCTTGGAAATAAGGCTCAGAGATTGCTTACCCGCTGGAAAATTTGTGGAGGTGAAGGTTAAGGTCGCTATCCTCTAGTGGAAAGTAGTTGGGGTACAAAGTACAGGTTATTTTTCAAATGATCATTTTCTAGACCAGAGGTTCGTTCAAGAACACATTATTAGCATATAACCTTACGAGCATTGACCTTTGATGACATTAAAAATGAAGTATGACACTACAAAAATGGGGCCATTGACCTTTGAAAATGAAATATAACACCACGGAACTGGACTGGTCTCATTAGCCCTTGTTAACCTTGAGTCGCGTTCACGTTAATCCTTTCACGTGCAAAGGTCAATTTAGTTTTCTCTCAAATGATCATTTTCTAGACTAGAGGTTTGCTCAAGGACACATTATTAGCATATAACATTAAGATAATTGACCTTGTGATGACCTTACAAAAAATAGGCCTTTGTTGACATTGAAAATGAAACGCGTGCAGACCGGTGCATTTTCAGGAGAGCGGCATATGACTTGAGCGACGACAAATTAATTTCGTCCAACTAAAAATTAAAAAAAAGTCATATTCGCGCGAAGTTAAAATATTCACCGGCATTACGTGTTTCAAACCGAGCATACGTTGAGAAATTTTGAACTGCAGAATTTACGCTATGCCCGAAAAAGTTAAAACCGGATAAATCTAGTAAGGAACTTCATATACCACTACTGCATGCTTCGACCTAGGGTAATCCTGAATCCAGATAATTTCTATGGGAATTGATGCAACTTTAGGAGAACACAGATTTCTTGGATTGCAGTAAAAAGCACTAAAATCTGTTTGACGTAAATGATGTTGCACTGATCTCTCTAGTTTTCAGCCATAATTCTTTCATTTGCATTACAACGTCTAAGTTTGGTACGAACAACGTACATTCGACAATAAACATTCGGCACTAAAGACGTTGAGCAACTACCTAAGCAGTGCACCGAAAAGACCTTATGAAGGTCTTCCTGAGAGCAACTAATCGATATACCTTTGATTACAAAATAAATACTACAAACGTTTTTGATATCATAGCAACAAAATGGGAACAATATACCGCTTATAACAATATATAACAACGCAGCCGAAGATGTCCTAGAACAACAGGAATGAGACCCGAGTACGTCTCGAGTCTCCCTTGTTGCGTCTGGACATCCCCAACTGTCATAAACTCTGATCCGATCCTGTGGCACCTACTCCCTTGTTATCGCCGCTTCCACCGACGCCGGAAGACGAACGTCCCTCGCCACCGGACCCACGGCCGGACACGCCGTTCGCACCACGAAACTCCAGCTTATACTGAAAAACAGGCAGACTATCAAAACGCAATTAACGACCGAGAGACAGGTAGGCGGTTAGCAGCTAAGAAAGCGAAAGTATTAGTTTGAAATACTTCGTGCCTTGTCAGGAGGAGGAACAAAAAGCTCCGAACCCGGGATCGGTATACAGTACTACAACAAAACACAAACACATTGTTATTAATTGGCTAGTGAAACGCAAGGACTGGTTAAAAGAAACCTACAACGAATCATACGCTATCGAGGCAACGTCGCATATTCTCCAAAAACACATAGCCTATTCAAAGCCTGTGGACTTAGTTGTAACGGCAAGTGCCTACCATCCAGCGACACGCACGGAAACTTCACCCTCTGAGGCATCGAGACACGGTACTAATCACAACAACATGCATTAACTGAGATAGATATCGAATGACGATTTGAAGGGACTCGCAAAGCCTCACCTTAGTAGCACACTCGAAACATGTCGTAACGACTTTTGATATGACGTTCATAAGATTCTTCGTCTCTTGTATCACATTATCCACTTTGGTAAACGTCGCCGCCTTCCCCACCGTATGGTCCTTGACGGTGAACTGGAGTCTCTGTACGAACGTCGGCACCTTGTCCAGACTCTCCAGCAGCTCCTTCTTGTTAGCGCCCCCAGGTACCTGAAAGCGACGCTTTAACTGGGCTAGGCACCCCGAGTACCACTCACCTGGTAGCTGAACTGCCTGATCACCTTGTACAGCCTGTTCGCCTCCTCCGCAAAGTACTCCGCCTGCGTGAACAGATCCTGGGTGGTCTTCAGGGAGCCCTCGCCCTTCGTGAACTGATACATGGAGAACGCCATCGACGACATGTTCTTAGCTCTCTTAACGATGTCGTTATTTTCCTACGGCTTAGATCAAAGAGTGTCGTTAAACAGTCGTCTTTACCTCCATTTGCGTGCTGCTCTCCTGCCACTTTTCCGTTTCGGCGTCCATCTCGCTACTGATCAGCTTCATTTCCAGCCCGGACTTCGCGATCTTCTCCTGCTCGTCGACGTCCAATCGAACGGATTTTAGTGGCTTCGATGTCGTGCCGTGTTTCTGTGAAAACATGATCGCGATCAGCCTAGTCGGCTGAGAAAAAGTTTACTGCAGCTGTCCGTAAGGACTCGAGCCTGTAAACCGCAGGTCATTTCAACCCCCAATACCAGTTTGAGTTTCCGAAGCCAATCGGTGCTGAGTACTGTCATTTATTTATATGTTCGTAGTAGACTCAGTCGACGAAAAAGATGTGGGTATACCCCACCACATCCGATTTCCCACTTATCGGAAACCATAAAGTGACATACAAAGCCAATAAAATCTGACCCAAAAGGTGGAGAGTCGTTGTGGGCGGTTTGGGTCGCCGGGTAGGTAGTGTTTAGTACGCATGTCTCGGAAGGATTGTCTACGTTCGTTTAATCTAACCGCGAAAACGCCACGGACATGCAAAAGACTAGTCTCTTAAGACTATTAAGTTTTTAGACCACCCAAGAGCCAAGAGTCTCCCAAAGGAAACCCTTGAGCCACATGTAAACCTTTGACGCATCTCACAGATTCGTAAAAACTCTGAACCTTGGCATGGCTTATTAAAGATCAACAAAACTTGCGGACACTGAGTTTTTAAAAACTGAAAACGACCCTGGGAGACTTTCGAAGGCTCTTTTTAAAAGTATAGGTACGCGACACTTACAGATTTCCAAAAACCTTTAAAGGCTCGGTCCTTGAAGACTTGTAAAGGCTCTTAAACGGCAAAAGCACTCAAGTTAGAAGGCTCTTTGAAAGCGTGAAGTGAAGTTAAGTGAACCAAGGCCATTTTCTTATAGAGTTTGGCTCGTAGAATCCATAATTTCAAACAGTTTCAAGATTGGACTACTAGATCAAAAGTTACAGCCCTTTGAACTTTTTCGAAATTTTAATTAGTCCATAACCTTTGATTGAGGAGCCTGATCGAAAAAGTACGAATCGTTTTGGATTCTACGCACCAAAATTATTGAGAAAAAGTGTTTTCCCGAGAAATTTTGGAGAAGTCGATTTAAAAAAAGGAAGGTAATACACTGTCTTTTTTTGAGGCCGGAAAGAAAAATTGTCTGAGATCGACCGGGAAAAAACATTTTCTTATAGAGTTTGGCTCGTAGAATCCATAATTTCAAACAGTTTCAAGATTGGACTACTAGATCAAAAGTTACAGCCCTTTGAACTTTTTGTCGAAATTTGTAATTAGTCCATAACTTTTGATTGAGGGGCCTGATCGAAAAAGTACGAATCGTTTTGGATTCTACGCACCAAAATTAGTGAAAAAAAGTGTTTTTCCGAGAAATTTTGGAGCAGTCGATTTTTGGTAAAAAAGGAAGGTAATACACTGCCTTTTTTTGAGGCCGGAAAGAAAAATTGTCTGAGATCGACCGGGAAAAAAACATTTTCTTATAGAGTTTGGCTCGTAGAATCCATAATTTCAAACAGTTTCAAGATTGGACTACTAGATCAAAAGTTACAGCCCTTTGAACTTTTTCGAAATTTTAATTAGTCCATAACCTTTGATTGAGGAGCCTGATCGAAAAAGTACGAATCGTTTTGGATTCTACGCACCAAAATTATTGAGAAAAAGTGTTTTCCCGAGAAATTTTGGAGAAGTCGATTTAAAAAAAGGAAGGTAATACACTGTCTTTTTTTGAGGCCGGAAAGAAAAATTGTCTGAGATCGACCGGGAAAAAACATTTTCTTATAGAGTTTGGCTCGTAGAATCCATAATTTCAAACAGTTTCAAGATTGGACTACTAGATCAAAAGTTACAGCCCTTTGAACTTTTTGTCGAAATTTGTAATTAGTCCATAACTTTTGATTGAGGGGCCTGATCGAAAAAGAACGAATCGTTTTGGATTCTACGCACCAAAATTAGTGAGAAAAAGTGTTTTCCCGAGAAATTTTGGAGCAGTCGATTTTTGGTAAAAAGGAAGGTAATACACTGCCTTTTTTTGAGGCCGGAAAGAAAAATTGTCTGAGATCGGCCGGGAAAAAACATTTTCTTATAGAGTTTGGCCCGTAGAATCCATAATTTCAAACAGTTCCAAGATTGGACTGCTAGATCAAAAGTTACAGCCCTTTGAACTTTTTGTCGAAATTTGTAATTAGTCCATAACTTTTGATTGAGGGGCCTGATCGAAAAAGTACGAATCGTTTTGGATTCTACGCACCAAAATTAATGAGAAAAAGTGTTTTCCCGAGAAATTTTGAAGCAGTCGATTTTTGGTAAAAAGGAAGGTAATACACTGCCTTTTTTTGAGGCCGGAAAGAAAAATTGTCTGAGATCGACCGGGAAAAAACATTTTCTTATAGAGTTTGGCCCGTAGAATCCATAATTTCAAACAGTTCCAAGATTGGACTACTAGATCAAAAGTTACAGCCCTTTGAACTTTTTGTCGAAATTTGTAATTAGTCCATAACTTTTGATTGAGGGGCCTGATCGAAAAAGTACGAATCGTTTTGGATTCTACGCACCAAAATTAGTGAGAAAAAGTGTTTTCCCGAGAAATTTTGAAGCAGTCAATTTTTGGTAAAAAGGAAGGTAATACACTGCCTTTTTTTGAGGCCGGAGAAAAAAAATTGTCTGAGATCGACCGGGAAAAAACATTTTCTTATAGAGTTTGGCCCGTAGAATCCATAATTTCAAACAGTTCCAAGATTGGACTACTAGATCAAAAGTTACAGCCCTTTGAACTTTTTGTCGAAATTTGTAATTAGTCCATAACTTTTGATTGAGGGGCCTGATCGAAAAAGTACGAATCGTTTTGGATTCTACGCACCAAAATTAGTGAGAAAAAGTGTTTTCCCGAGAAATTTTGGAGCAGTCGATTTTTGGTAAAAAGGAAGGTAATACACTGCCTTTTTTTGAGGCCGGAAAGAAAAATTGTCTGAGATCGGCCGGGAAAAAACATTTTCTTATAGAGTTTGGCCCGTAGAATCCATAATTTCAAACAGTTCCAAGATTGGACTACTAGATCAAAAGTTACAGCCCTTTGAACTTTTTGTCGAAATTTGTAATTAGTCCATAACTTTTGATTGAGGGGCCTGATCTAAAAAGTACGAATCGTTTTGGATTCTACGCACCAAAATTAGTGAGAAAAAGTGTTTTCCCGAGAAATTTTGAAGCAGTCGATTTTTGGTAAAAAGGAAGGTAATACACTGCCTTCTTTTGAGGCCGGAAAGAAAAATTGTCTGAGATCGACCGGGAAAAAAACATTTTCTTATAGAGTTTGACCCGTAGAATCTATAACAGTTCCAAGATTGGACCAAAAGATCAAAAGTTACAGCCCTTTGAACTTTTTCACTGGACGTTGCCTCTAGAAATCGTCATGCCTCTTATATGAGCCGTGGTTTCAGGTGCTTCTCTGGTTATTTGGCCCTTTTAATAACCTCACAGGGTTTTAGGAACGATTAGGAGCAAGGGCCTTAGAGAGTACTTAAAAACCTGTAAGGATCATGCCATGTAAGAATGTTTGAGTGTTTCCAAGAGGGATCCAAAGGGATTTTAGAAACATTAAGCTTTTAAACACCACTTTTGAACATCCCATCAAAATCGATAGGTTACCTGAATTATACCTGTAAATCAATAAATACTGCCAAATGCGTCTGCTTTATTTATGATGCAAACGTTATAGGTTACAATTTAAGGAACCTTGCACTAAAATGGGAATTTTTGAAATTCTTAAAAAAAGGGGCGGGGCGAGGTGAGGTGAACTTCAGCAACTCACCCCCGGTCTCGGCAAAGACATGTAAACTTGCTTCTCGGGTCGCGCCTGGCTCGCTTCGATGACCTCCTTAACGACCGACGTGACATCGGAAACCAGCCACTGATACATGTCGGCGAACACTTCTAGATTTTCTTGAGCAATTTTACTACCAGGATGCGCGGCCAACGACTTGGCCGCTGTGATAACCTGTGGTCCGTATACTCTTAAATTAATTTCGGTGAATCTTGCGGATACTTGTAACGTTTCGGAGACGGCTACGTGTCTCAGCAATTTACAAACTTCCAAAATGTGATCTATGGAATCGTGAAAGGCCCCCGAGGTGTGGTGTAAACGATCCAGTTCTGGGATAAGAGCGTGCTGCCGTATAGTTCCGACAAGCTCCTGACTTTGCTTAGTCGATGTGCTGAGCTCTTGAGCTTGTTGCAAGGCGGTTTGAGCAAGTTCTCTCGATAAATCTTTTGCGGCGGTTAAAGCGGATGATACGCAAGAGTCGAGCTCGGGACAGCTCGTCGCGCCATCTATTGCCATCTGCAACAAAATGCTTAGTGCTGCGCCGAACGTTTGTGCGCCGACGCTCACCAGGTTCGCGTATAAACCGAGAACGTGATCCACTTCGTCCTTCACTCTGTCGATGCCGTCCAAAATGGCTTGGCGGTGTTCGTGGCTTGTATAGGCACTGTCTGTAAAGTCTTGTGTACGTTCCAAGACGGCGTCTAGAGCCGCCGGAAGAGTATCTTGGTAAGAGGGATCTAAACTAACTCTGCAAAGCTCTAACACGTTCTGTAAACGTCGCATACAAGAATAAACCGTGCTCCGTTCTACTTCGACATCTTCACCCTGTATTGATTGTGAGCAAGGCTCTACCGAATTCAAAACGCCGTCCTTAACGACGTAGTGAATCAAGTCCATAGCTCGCCGCATCTGACAAAACACCGTATCCCGGTTCTCTCTGGCGGTCGTACTGTCCGGATGTCTGAGGCAAGTCTGCAATCGGGCAGGTTAACGTTCAGAATCGGAAGCTGGGGCGCACTTACCTTACTGGAGGTGAGAAGCATCATCGTCGACCGTTCCAGCACCTGCCTCGCGGCCGCCATCTGCGCCCTCCGCCGTTCGTCCTTGAGATCGTTCTGCCTATCTCCGGTCAGATGCGCCAGTTCGACCATTTCGGCGCCGAACTGACTGAACGCCTTCACGAACTCCGTAAAGTTATTTACCGATTCTAGACGACCTAAGCTACGTTGCACCTGAAAAATCGGCGCCGTTAGTAACGCCCCTCCCGAAACAGTCGGACGCCCACCTTGTCTTTTGCTAACAGTAATTGCTTAACAACTACGATATCTGCTAATAGAAGAACTCTAGTCACAGATCCGAGAAGGCATCTGGCAGCTTTCACTAGCACCGTTCGATCGGTCATGATTTCTTCTTCCGCTTCCTCGCATATCCTTTCAATTGCGCCACCTGTAAACAAAAATTAAAATTCAATACCTGTGACTTGAAGGGGGTACTGTAACGGTATTTATATCAAATGGGGAACGTATCGAATTTACACTCGCATGGTTACGGAGAACCCACATCTACGTTTGACCTTTCAGTGACACTGATTTTAGCAGAGTTTCAAACCCACGTCTACGTTTGACCTTGATTTTCAATCGGACATACATTTCTACTAAAAATGACGGTAAACACCTCCAAAGGTCTTATTGTTAGTACATATACAAGGGCGAGTCTGGGCCAGTTCAAGGTGCCACCTGCCGGTAACATTGGAAAGTAGGGCACGGTGAAGTTCAAAGGTCATCTTCCATGGGACTGTTGCCTTGGAAAGTAGGTCAAGGTGCAAGGGTATTCGTTTTCAAGGTCATCAAAGGTCTGCGGACCCATTTTTGTATTATATTTAATTTTCAAGGTTATCAAAGTTCAATGACCTCAAATTTTTGCGGTTTAATAGTCCATTTTCACAAGTCAATTACCCTTTTTTTGGTGGTGTCATATTTCAATGTTGCCACGTTTTACTTCTAAGGTTAATGGTCCCATTTTTAATGTCATCCAAGGTCATCCACGTTCAATGACCTAATTTTTGTCGTATCTTACTTCACTTTCAAGGTCAATGGTCCCATTGTTCTGGTGTCATTTAATTTTCAAGGTTATCAAAGTTCAATGACCGATCCGGAAAATGGAGGAGTGCTCGCGTCCAACCAATGACCTCTCAACTTGGGACCCTATTGCCGTTTCACAGGAGGAATGTCGTGTTCCCCAGAACCAACCGTGTCGGAGTTATGACTCCAGGCCATCGGGGCTTCCTTAGCGCCCGTACAGGGTGGAAGAATGCACCACACCCGACGGAAAACGCTCCAGGTGCGCCTACTGCCGTATGCCGGGCCACGTTAAAGAAGACTGTCGCAAGAGGCTCCCACGGAGACGTCAATGCCCCATACTGAAAGTGGAAATCGAGAACACCAAGGGAGGTGCATACCTGGACACAGGGAACAGATAAAGCCTTGTGGGGTTGAAGCTTAATACTCTCTTTCAGGGTACAAAGATTATAAAAAAAGATTTTGAAAAGATTTTGAAGAGATTTTGAAGAAATTTTGAAGAGATCTTGAAGAGATCTTTAAGTGCTCCTGAGGAGATCTTGAAGGGCTCTTGAAGCGATTTTAAAGGACTTTGGAGGGATTTTGAAGAGATTTTTTGGAGACCTTCAAGAACATTTGAAGGAACTGAAGAGATTTTGAGGGAATTTTGAAGATTTGAAGAGATTTTGAAGAGATTTTGAGGAGGAGACCTTCAAGAAAATTTGAAGAGGCTCTGAAGCGACTTTTTGAGGGGATTTTGAACAGACTTGAAAGATACCTTGAAGAAATTTTAAAGAAACTATCAGAGACTGAAGAGACTTTGAAAATACTTTGACGAGACTTTGAAGAGACTTTGAAGAGATTTTGAAGAGACTTTGAAGATATTTTGAAGAGATTTTCAAGAGATTTTCAAGAGATTTTTTGGAGACCTTCAAGAAAATTTGAAGAGGCTCTGAAGCGACTTTTTGAGGGGATTTTGAAGAGATTTGAAAGAAACCTTGAAGAGACTTTAAAAAGACTTAAAAGAAACTATGGGAGACTGTGAAGAGACTTTGAAGAGATTTTGAAGAGATTTTGAAGAAATTTTGAAAAGATTTTGAAAAAATTTTGAAGAGGTTTTGTAGAGATTTTCAAGAGACCTTTAAGAAAATTTGAGAGGCTCTGAAGCGACTTTTTGAGGAGATTTTGAAGAGACTTGAAAGAAACCTTGAAGAGACTTTAAAAAGACTTAAAAAAAACTATGGGAAACTGTGAAGAGACTTTGAAGAGATTGAAGAGATTTTGAAGAGACTTTAAAGAGATTTTCAAGAGATTTTCAAGAGATTTTGAGGAGGAGACCTTCAAGAAAATTTTAAGAGGCTCTGAAGCGACTTTTTGAGGGGATTTTGAAGAGATTTGAAAGAAACCTTGAAGAGACTTTAAAAAGACTTTAAAAAAACTATGGGAGACTGTGAAGAGACTTTGAAGAAATTTTGAAGAGATTTTGAAGACATTTTGAAGAGATTTTGAAAAGATTTTGTAGAGATTTTGAAGAAATTTTGAAGAGGTTTTGTAGAGATATTCAAGAGACCTTTAAGAAAATTTGAAGGAACTATGAGAGACTGTGAAGAGACTTTGAAAAGGACTTGGAGACTATTAAGAGACTTTGAAGGGACTCTGAAGGGTTTTAAAGAGCTTTTGAAAATATGTTGAAGAGATTTTGAAGAGTCTATGAAGAGATTATAAAGAGAGGTTCGAGGATTTAAAGAGAATTTGAGGAGATTTTGAGGAGACCTTCAAGAAAATTGGAAGAGGCTCTGAGGCGAGTTTTTCGTCGAGAGTTAAGGGCTCAAAACTGTTTTGCAAGCCTCGTTGGTAAAAAAGGCACGAAACCATGGCCTTACGGCCTGTTTCTAAAGATGTCGCTGAAACTGGAGAATTCTGCTAGTTTGAAGAAGATGAAGTTTAAGAAGATCCGGGGGAAAGCGAGGAGAAGTACCGGGCAGACCTCAGAAACGTCGCTAGTTTCAAAAATGTGCTTGGGATCCATAGTTTCCACAGGGAAAAAACTCAAAAAATGCAGAGAGAAGAAAAAATCAGGGAAATAGATGTGGCTTGCGAAAAAGGCGAGGGAGCATAGGAAGGAGGAGAAGTTTGAGCGGTTAAGGACTCCCAAGAAGCCAAGTTCAAAGCCTGGGTGATATACCCTGGGAGATATAACGAAACTATGAAATTATAACACCCTGTAGATCAATAAGGAAGCGTTTGCGGGTTTATATGAACTTATAGTCATAAACTAACCCACAGAATTCTCCCGGTATATCATATTTAGGAACACCCTGTATAAACATTCCTCGACTTGTATTGCCCTCAGCAAATGGGTGACCAATAACTTCGGATCAATAAATCCTGAACGATTGATATGTGTCACGTCATAAAAAATAAGGGTTAGAGGTCGTTAAAAACACACAATGGGGTGTGTATGGGGTACGGAAGTGATTTATGATGAACCTAATTTTATTTTTAAAAAAGAACGGTGTAACTTAATTTGAAACACTGCAAAAGTTAGGGCTACTTTACGATAACGGTTAACAATGAACCTTTCGACCCCTCTAAAAAATTTGAGGGAAATGGCTTTCTTCCTTCTCATAAAAGTGAACTACGGGTGTCTTATTGTACTCTTACATTATCTTTATCACAGCCACTTCTCGAAATTAAACTCGTAAAACTGCCAGCGGAGCGAAATAAGAAATGGGAACGAACCTGCTTGTCGGGCCTCTTTACATGCCTCGTACATTCCCTGTCGCACCTCCGAATAATCGTCGGCGATGGTCTCGCCGACGGTGACGAAACGCTCGATGGCCATGTTGACGGCCTGTCCGACGCGTGCGACGGCCGACGATCGTAAGGCGCTTCCATGCTGTTCGACCAGTGAAGAAATCTGCAAGCAAGAGCAGACGCAATTAGCGGCGATCGTGTTATCGAGTGAACGAGGTTTGCGTTAAATTTAACCGAAAGGCTTTTCGAGTGCGATTGAAACGACGATTAAAACGTGTAAAGAACGGGCAAAGTTTAATTAAGATAAATGAAGTTGGAACTTTTAAAAGTGGCACTTGTTCTCTAAGTTTAGTAATGTTAAGTGCGCAGTCTGGCTGAAATTGTAGATAAAAAAGTCGGCCGAAGAATCGACAACTTCGTACAGGTTGATACGGTCGAAGTAGAATATTTAGACCTGATCAATTCATACGGATTAACAACAATTTTTCCATTCGTTAATGCTGCTTAATTCAAAAGTGGGGCCTGTCGAAAACACACAGCGATGATTAATTGTCTATATAAATAAACATCAATCTATAATAATTAATCTCGCTGACAGCTTACGGCCATTTATTATAAACGTAGAAACGTCACCTGGGCAAATTCGGAATTAAGTTCACGAATGACAAATTTATTCGTATTTTAAATTAGAATCCCGAATCAGCTCACTTCAAGATATTTAAATAGGCTGATTCTGATACCAAGACTTTTTTCTTTTTCATTTCAAAGTCAAATCCGCCGAAATTAATCTTCTTTCGAGATAATAGGCTTCTTATTTATTTGTCTTCCGCACGCATAAATTCTTGTGACCGTACTAATTCTGTAACGGTCGCGTTTCGAGTTTATGCGACCATTAAAAAGTTTTGATGGCTTCGTTTACTTCGGTGGTATCATTTCTCAAAGTGACGTGCACGAATACGGGATAAAATTGTTAATCAAAGTCGGATTCCGACTGATACGAAATGCGGTCAATTACGACGTAGGTATGCCGGCGGAAATTAGTGAAAATCGATGCTGGAATCGAATATTTTCAATCAGAGCTACCCTTGAATCACTAGTTTCTGCCTATTAAGGTAAAAACGACTCGTAAAACGCTTTATTCGTTATCGCCAGTGATTAATCTTTAATCGACGCGATGGCGCCCTGATTACGTTCTAGAAAATTCGCTACAACCAGTGGTATCGTATCAATTCCGCACTAAAAGTCGCCGACAAGCACAAATTGACTTACCGTCAAGAATACGGATGTGTCACTCGAAAATGTGAGATATTTATGAGTTTGACTTATCCAATCTCGTTTCCATTCGCCGTGTATACCGGGATCGTGAATGAGATGTCAAGTACAGTAATGAATCTACAGAAGATCCATTCTAAAAATGACATCCGCAACTTCAATCTTGATAAAGCCTTCATTCGCCATGTTCGTCGTGCGGCTTTCTTTTTTTAATTCCTTTTCAATTTGGAGTCAATCCTTTTATGGTGGGAAAGTGGGTCGCGTTTTTCTTTAGCTATATGGGTGGAGTGAGCAATTTTAGGGTTTATTAATGAGGAGCAGTCACGATTTAATTTGCGTTCGCTGTCGGACGGCGACCATTAGTCAAAAGGAGAAAAATTCGATTCGTCGAGAAACTCCCAGTTAAAGTAATTGATCGTGTTGCGTACTTGCAGCAAAGAGAAAGGGCGCCCGCATTTGTAACAATGACAATGAAAAAAGCTAGAACGAAGGATGATTGTTGAGGGTTTCATAGAAAGGTTTTTTTTGTTATGCGTGGCGTGAATAACACCAAACAGTTCATTTATCCAGCGTCTATGCGTGGGGTGGCCTACATTCCTTCGCTCTTTATGTACTGGAATAAAAGAGTCGCTGGGTGTGAATAGGGAAGCGGCGTTAATGTAGCACTTCTATATTGAAAACGTAGTAAAGGAGTCGATATGGCAACCAGATTCCGTTTGGAACAGTGTTCCTGTGTTCAGCGTCTCTCATTTATTGACCTAAATTCTCCTCCTTCTCACCCCTCACTTTCAGGGTCAACTTGCAGAATTCGGAAAGCAGCTCATCCGAGGATCGAAAAACGGAACATTCAAGGTCATTCGAAGTCATTGTAGTGGAAAATTACATAAGTATTCG